GATTATTATAGCTTCTATTACTCCTAAAAGTTGACCAATAGGGACCTGAATTTAGGAGATTTTGTCATTCAGCTTTCATATAGTAAATGGTGAGGCCAGCCCTTTGCCTGTAGGGCCCTTTATCAGTGAAGAGGAACTGTGCCTTCTCCCAGGCAGCCAAGTAGAGGGAGGAGTCAAGGTTTTTAGTGTTCTCTGTGAAAGCGAATTCCTGCTGTTGAACCTGATGGGCACTAGATACTACCTTCTCCTTGAAACACTGGAAGACCTTTGTCACAATATTTCATTCTCTTCTCATTCTTTTTTTTTTTTTTTTTTTAATATATTTTATTGATTTTTTACAGAGAGGAAGGGAGAGAGATACAGAGTTAGAAACATCGATGAGAGAGTCATCGATCAGCTGCCTCTTGCACACCCCCTACTGGGGATATGCCCGCAACCAAGGTACATGCCCTTGACCGGAATCGAACCCGGGACCCTTCAGTCCCCAAGCCGACGCTCTATCCATTGAGCCAAACTGGTCCCGGCTCATTCTTTTTTTTTTTTTTTTTTAATATATTTTATTAATTTTGTACAGAGAAGAAGGGAGAGAGATAGAGAGTTAGAAACATCGATGAGAGAGAGTCATCGATCAGCTGCCTCTTGCACACCCCCTACCAGGGATGTGCCCGCAACCAAGGTACATGCCCTTGACCGGAATCGAACCTGGGACCCTTCAGTCCCCAATCTGACGCTCTATCCATTGAGCTAAACCGGTTTCGGCTCTCTTCTCATTCTTTCAAGTAGTAGAAAACAAGGTCCAGCATTTCAAAAATGCTGTGTATGCTTTTTAAAAGGTGGTAAACTCATTCAGTTGGGTAACATAAGTCAGTTGTAACACATTATTATATTCTTCAACTTTTGATTTTGCAAAAGAGAGTTAACTGGGGTGAACTTTAGTGGAAAATGAGCTGAAGAAGCCAGTGTGTGCTGTGTATGGCTGGATTTGTGTAGGATGGGGGCTACATGTATGAACCAAACTTTGTGGTAACTTTTAAGATTGCATATGAGAAACATTTAAGGAATTCACACGTTCTTTAACAGTTAATAGAAGTTAAATATTTAAATATGAGAATGTAGTTGCTGAATTGCAGCTTACTTTAGAACCTGCTTTTTTTTTTAATTAAACAATTTTTTTTGGTTTATAAATCCTTAGGAATTTAAATATAATTTGCAAGGAGAAACAAACTTTTTCAGCCCAAATTTTAAGTAGAAAACTGTTTTGTGTATGCTTTTTGGGTATTTTAAAGGGGATTATTTATTAAAATTGAAGGACAGAGAACATTTTACTTTTTTATTTTGGTTAATTCTTACCGGAGGATATTTTTCCATTGATTTTTAGTGAGAGTGGAAGAGAGAGGGAAAGACAGAGAAACATCTATGTGAGAGAAACACATTGATGGGTTGCCTCCTGCTGGTGCCTGAGTAGGGCCCAGGCCAGGGAGGGCCCCAAAACTTAGGTATGTGCCTCTGACCTTAATTGAACCTGGGACCCTTTGGTCTACAGGCCAACCGTCTGTCCACTGAGCCAAACCTACATCTTTATCAGAAATTAACCAATCAGGATGGTTCTGAAATACAGGGTGGGGCAAATGTAGGTTTACAGTTATTCATATGGAAAACAATAAATAATAATACAAAAATAAACTGTTTATCGTGCTCACAACTGTAAACATATGTTTGCCCAACCTTGTATATAAAATACATAGGAATAGTAACCACAATGGCAACCCTTTCCACTCAGTTACTTATTGACCAAATTTCCTTTGATTTTTCCCTTCTGTAGAAAATGCTCCTACATGTGAAGATAGAAAGAAAAAGATGTAGAAGTTATACCCTATCCCATTAATTTTGTAATTATATTTTTTCCTCAATGTTTTAAAGTAGCATTTACCAGTAGGGGTAAGATTAATTTGTTACAATACAAACCAATTTGAAAATTGGTTATTAAATTGAGCTATAATATATAAAATCTTATGGTAATGTGTAGATCTGACTATATTCAAGTGCAGCTTTTATATCCACACCAGTGTCTTGTAATAATCAGGAATGTATCCTCTGTGTGGTATTTGCAAGTTAATGCTATTTTAGAAATCACACCAGTATATCTAGTGGCTTTCCTGGGTATATGTGGCTCATTATTAATTATAATTATAATTTGAAATTTTAGTTCAAGGGTATGGGATAAGCCCTTTCAGATTCTTAGTTAGGAGTTTTGATGATGATAGAAATGACCTGATGAAGGAGAATATTAGAATGAGTTACAGCAAGGAAAGTCAGATGATAATTAAGCAAGTACATATTACAAAAATCACACGGGATCTAATATAAAATGGAGACAAACATTTAAAAGATGAATGCCTTAAGCCGAAACCGGTTTGGCTCAATGGATAGAGCGTCGGCTTGGGGACTGAAAGGTCCCGGGTTCGATTCCGATCAAGGGCATGTACCTTGGTTGCAGGCATATCCCCAGTGGGGGGTGTGCAAGAGGCAGCTGATCGATGACTCTCTCTCATCGATGTTTCTGACTCTCTCTCTCCCTTCCTCTCTGTACAAAATCAATAAAAATGTAAAAAAAATAAATAAATAAAAGATGAATGCCTTAAAAACTTATAAGGGAACATTCACAAATACAAGTAAATATGCATATTTTAATAAAAAAGAGAAGATCATGCAGGTGGCTTCAGTATGGCTAGAAGTGTTTGAGCCATCTTCCTCTTGAGAAGGGAATAGGGAGGAGTGACAGGTTACCTTCCAGTGCCTACTTTATTATTTTCCTTTTCTTCTTTTGTATTTTATTCTCCCTTTTTGTATACTCTTCTCCCTCTTTTCTTTTCTCAAATTCAGTTTCTCCTTCAGAATGAGACTTTCTTCTATCTAGCACACACAGAAGTAATTGCTTAATAATGTGCATATTGTTTCTCATTAACAATGAGAGAAACAACAAATTTATTTTACATTAAGGAATTTAAATATAAAAGAATTTAAGGCTGAGAGAGTGTCACTTTAATATAAAGGATTTTTGTCTCTCTTGTTCATTGGTCTATCCTTCTGCCTAGAACAGTGTTAAGTACAAGGAAGATGCTCAATAAATACTTGTTGAATAAATGACTGAAACATTACTTAGAAATATTTAATTTTATTTACTCACAAAAATTACTTTAGTGAAGAACTTAATACTCCCGAGTCAAAGGTAAGGGGTTAAGATAGGGATTTAAAAAAAGGTCAAGGAAGTTAATTAGCTAGAGTGCTAGGCCAACTTGAAGGACAGAGAAGGGTGAATTAATACAGGCACTGGGGAAAGGTCAGATTAATAGAGTGCTTGGATTTTATACAATAGATACAGGGAGCCTTTATGAATTATTGACCAGAGTGACATAATAACAAAGTGAACACAGTTATTCTATTTAGGTGCTGTTCGTAAAATGGATTGTAGCTTGAGGTAAAGAAACATTGGAAACAGTGAACAGGCGATTGTTGTAGGAGTTCAAAGCAGTTTAGCTGTTTCGGTTGGTATGTTATCTGGTGATACCTTTAGCAGATACCCTTCTTTGAAGTCTGATGTCTCCGCTTTATGACCTGTGGCTGGATGGAGTCAGGAGGAAGAGTTCTCCACTGAGAAGCAATAGGGTAGGATTCTAGTTCCTACTTCTCTACTTTCTAAATTCATGATCATGGATAAATGCTTGGGCATCAGTCATCTAAATTATAAAATGAGGAAGTAATGATCTGAAAGACCACATCATTTTTTGGTGTCCTTACTATTGTTATGTCAGTTATAGATAGTGTGAATAATGAATACTATATTTTAATACTAATATTAATTCTTGCAACTAGAGTATTTTAAGAAGAAAAAAGACCCATAATGATATTTAATATTTCCAAACTTATAAAGGTTAGTATTATGTGCATCAACTGCTATATTTTAAAATATGTATTCCTGTTTTTATATGTGTTATTGTTGGATATTTAAATTTTTTAGGATTACTAGACTGTAATAGTACCCAAGTTGATGAACAAAACTTCAGCCTGGGATACTTTTAGAGAAAATTGAAGAATATTAAACTTCTAAAACATAATGTGTTTTGTAAAGCTGTAGGAGCAATAACAATAACATTGTTTCATTAATATTAGTAGAAATCATAATTTCTACCTTATTTCAATACTAAATACACCATATGTATATTTACTTTCACACATACATTTTTGCTTAGAAGGTTTTACAACCAGCAGCATTTGGGGTTCTCTTTTTCATTTTCTTTCTCTCTTTCTTCCTCCTTCTTTCTTTGCTGCTGTATTCCCTTCTGTTTGGGTTGTTTCTTACCTGCACCCCCCCCCCCCCCCCCGTAATCTTTTTAATCTATCTGGAAAGATGAAGAGGCAATTGCTATAGTAACTATGCATTTTGGTTAATGAATAGCAGATTAACAAGATACATAAAACATATACGAACTGTACAGAGTTGCTGTCAAATCTGGAGGGTAATACTTTTTCTTCTAAAAGTAACTGACTTTAATTTTCCTTGGTATTTTATTTTCTAATTTACCATTCCTAATATTGAAATGCTAACATGAACTATTTCTTTTTTTTTGCTTAGTCTGCACAAGATTTCACCCTGTGATGAATTTATGGGAGATGAGTTGAGATGCATAGAGGAAAAGAATTGATTAATTAGGTTAAGAATTGGATTTCCTTTACACTTATACAGAGAAGAATAGAGACAAGTTTTACTATATATTTAGTTTTTGACCTATAACCTTTTCCCCCTTCCTGTTTGGCAATTAGTGCTCCTTTTGAGATTCTCTCTGGGGTTAGAACTAATAAGTAGTATTTTCTTGAAGATGTTTCTATCATAAAGGGCAGCTACAACTGGAATATTGCATTCAGCCAAGCCTTGAAAATTCCTGTAATCTGTACCATCCTGTCTCATACTGTCCCATCTCATAGTTGTCCTCTCTCTGCAGTGCTCTATGCCCAGGTCTCTGTGGCTGGGCTGCTCCAGCCTGGCGGACAGCATGCCTTCGCTGCGATGCCTGTATAACCCAGGGACTGGCGCACTCACAGCTTTCCAGGTACTTTCTCTGTCTCTGGGGGTTATTTGTGGGCTTCGGTGTGTGTGTCTAATTCATGAGTGTGTCCCTCCTTCTTTTCCTTGCTTTACTTATGTTCACCTTTTCTCCTTCATATTGTCTTTATTTCACGTCACTCGGTACTCTTTAATGATTAATTTCTAATGTAGATCCAGATTGATCCACTCTTAAGACATTTTTATTATCATGATTGGTTTGTCAAAGTTGACATAGCACAACTTTTCACTATTAGTTTTCATATTTAGTAGAACTATGATAGTGAACTTTAAAGTAATCTCAATTAAAAATATTTGATATGTTATGTTTGCTCTGGACCTACATAAAGATAAGTAATGTAATTAATCACTTATAGCTAGTTGCTCAAATACCTTTTTATGATTACCAAAAATATAAAGTGCTCTATCAGAGTGTCTCCTAGTTACTATACTACTATAAATATATGTATACACTTTTTTTTTTTTTAAATAAGAACTGTGTTTGCTTATATTTTAGTAGGTCTAGTTTCAAGGTAGAAAGGCCTTTAAGACTTTTGAGTACAGTATTCAGGTTGAGACAGTCAAACTATCTTGCATGGACCAATAGATTCTAGTTCTCTACAGCCTTTCTTAGAGGCCATTAAGACATTTCTAGGATGTGAGAGAGAACCATAGAGAAAGGGAGTGGGGAAACTTGTAGAGGAAAATAGAAGAGCTTGGTGCCCCTTTGTTTACAGATTAACATACCATATTTGGTGGTTTTCTTGGCAGAAGTATTATCTATCCACCTCAGGTATCTGGAATTTGTGTTTACCATTCGATACACAACCAATTAGTGTTTTTATTTGTTTTTAACCTATGTAGCTTATATTTTATGTTGAAGAATTTCAAAGATATGCTTAAATAAGCATCAGAATGCTTATAAGTAAGTCTTAGTTAAAAGAGGGGAACTTAAGTATTCCACACTCCTGAACAGTGCTAACAGTTGCTAGTCTTTAATGATACTATTTTAGTGATGATAATGCTATTAATATATATTTCTAATTGTCCTTTGCAAAATATAATATTAAAGTTCCTCTCCTTGTCTTATGAGATACAATATAGTAAAGTATATAGGCTTTAATATTAGTTAAATCAGGGCTTGTGTGCTGTCTGTCACTAGTGGTATGGTCTTGAGCAAGTCATTTAATCCTCATGTTCCTCATTTGTAAATGAAGACTATAGTAAGGACATGCAATACATCGTTGCTGTTTATCATCATCATCATTAGCATTATTGCTATTGTTACAGAATACTGATACCCTGAGAATACCAATTGCTTCAAATAAGTGTCTTATATTTTTTACATTGTATTAATAATTGTTTCTAATCTTTTTTTTTTCTTGAGGGGAGTTTGGGGGAAGAGGGGTTGCAATGAGTTTAACCAAACTGCTGTCTGCAAGAATAGTTCCTAAAAGACTAACCTCATTTGAGACACCAGTTTCAGGGTTAGGAGCTCCCACTACCACCCTCAGGTTGACAATTCACCAGAAAACATTCACGGAACTCACTGAAAACTATTATATTTACGTCTTATTACAGGAAGAAGATACAGGTTAAAATTAGCCAAAAGAGGAAATATATAGGTAAAATCTGGAGCGGTCCAAATGTAGAACTTTCTGTCATCCTCTCCCATGGAATGGTGGATGGCATTACTGCTTTCAGGCCACAGTATGTGATAATACATAGGATGTTGTCAACCAAGGAAACTCACCCAAGCCTTTGATGTTCAGAGTTTTGATTTGGATTAAATTTAGTCTTTAGTCCCTCCTGTCAATCATACTAATGCTTTTAGTCTCCATTTCCTCCCAGGATTGGAACTGCTAAAGTGTGGCACAAAGCCTCCATCATGAATCACATATGTCCAATGGCCAAAGGCCCCAGGCAAGAAAAAACACTCCTTTTAGGTAAGAAGTTCCAGTGGCCTAGATACCACCTTCCAGTAGCCAAGGCCAAAGGCCAGAACTCTCTTTGGATAAGGGTAATTTTCCACTACACATAGGTTAGGGACTACTTTGATGACCTGATGATAACTATTGATCTTGGAAAAATACTGCAACGTATAGGCAAAATTTTATTTAGTAGTTTTGCATATAGGATTATTATATTTATACTAGAGGCCCAGTGCATGAATTCACGTACCAGTGGGGTCCCTTGGCCTGGCGTGCGAGATCGGGTCGAAACCGGCTCTCCAACATTCCCCAAGGAGCCCTGAATTGCAAGAGGGGGCAGGCCAGGCCGAGGGACCCCACCGGTACATGATTGGGGCCGGGGAGAGACATGGGAGGGCTCTAGGGGAGGGACCAAGGGAGGGTTCCAGGGTGTGTCCGGCCCATCTTGCTCAGTCCTAATCAGCTAGACCCCAGCAGCAAGCTAACCTACCAGTTGGAGTGTCTGCCCCCTGGTGGTCAATGAACATTATAGCGACTGGTCCACCTGTCAACTGTCTGCTCCTGGTGTTCAGTGCATGTCATGGCACATGGTTGAGTGGCCTTAGCATATAATTAACATATTATGCTTTGATTGGTTTAATGGATGGCCAGACACTTAACATATTAGGCTTTTATTATATAGGATTTTATTATGAGAGAGCTATTAAATCACATAATCTAAAACTAATCTCCCAAAATGATAAATCTATGAAGGAAATGTACAAGGTGCCATAGAATATATAAAAGAGGAACCTGATTTAATTTGAGGGTGGGGAAGAATGTTCAGGTAATCAATATTTGAGAAGGAATTAATTAGGGAAAGGAGACGAGGGGGGAACATTTCAGGCCTAAGGAAGAGGCTGTGCAAAAGTCCTGAGAAATGATGGAAATTGGTATATTTAAAGACAACTGAAAAAAGACTGTTGTATCAGAGAATGAGGAGAATGGAGAATCTTGATCATGCAGGATTTGTCTTGATGCTAAGAAGAGTAGTGAGTTGTTGAAAGGATTTAAACACAAGTTTGGCCTATAGGCATTTAGATGCATTACTTGCTATAGTAAAGCTAAGCAATTGAAGAGAGCGATGATGGCAGTTTTGTTTGGTCCCAGGATACCTTTGCATTCTTAAAATTATTGAGGACCCCAAGTGCTTTTGTTTATGTTGCTTGTATCTATCGATAGTTACTATGTTCAAAATTACAACTGAGGAAAAAAATTAAATATTAATTTATTAAAAATAGCTATAATAAACCCATGCAAATAAAATATTTTTATAAAAATAACTTTTTAAAACATTAATTAAGACGCGTTGTATTACTATGCTATTTATAAATCTCTTTAATGTCTAGGTTAATAAAAGATAGCTGGATTCTCATTTCTGCTTCTGCATCCATTCGGTTGTGATGTGTCTTGGTTGAAATATATGAAGAAAATCTAGCCTCACACAAAAGGGAGAGGTATTTTAATACCTTTTCAGATAGTTGTAATTGGTAAATGATTAGTTGCGATATAAAATCTGAAATTGTCTGGCTGAACTTATATTCTGTTATATTAAAAGAAATTGTTTTCAGTCATCTCAACAAATCATGCTGGAACAATTGGTCACCTAAGTGCAAAATAATGACCCTCAACTGTTACACTATACCATATACAAGAATTAACTCTAACTGGATTATAGACCTAAATATGAGCTAAGATTATAAAACTAACAGAAGAAAATGAGGGAGGGGAAAAAATCATTGTGGCTTTGGATTAGGCAAAAGAATTTTTCGGAAACCCCCCCCCCCCCCCCCCCCCGATAAAACACAAAAAACATAAGCCTTAAAGAAATCAATGGTAAATTGGACTTACACAGTTTAAAACTTCCACTTTTCAAAAGACACTGTTTAGAAGACAAACAGGTAAGGCACTGACTGGGAGAAAACATTTGTAAAACACATTTCTGATAAAAGACCTGTATTCAGAATATGTATATAAAGAACTCTTACAATACAGTAGTAAGATAAACTACCCAGTAAAATAATGGGCAATTCATCGGCAAAAAATTTGAATGGATACATTACCAAAAAGATATACAAATGGCAAATAAGCATATGAAAAGATGCTCAATATTTTTAGTCATCAAGGAAATGCAAATTAAAACCACCAAAAGACTCTACTATGTTGCCACCCGATACCTCTTCCCACCTGGGATATGTGATGGGAATTTAGTAGACCCTAGATAGTTAATACATTCCTAGTGTAATAATGAGAAATGTTGTGCTAGAAAATGCCTTGAAAGCAGAATTCTTACACTTATCCATTGACCTCCACCATACTCTACAGAGTGCTTTTTAGTAGTTTGGACTCAATAAATGCTGATGGTTATAACTATATTAGGTAAGTGGTAAAGATAATGTATGCAATTAAAAATTATACAAGTTAACATCGTCTGTCTGGAACCAAGATACCAAGAAAAATCCAAAAGTTTATTTGGTCTAAAGCAATCTTAAATCTAAGAATTCTGAACAAACTCAGTCACTGTCAGGTTTGTCTCTGTTTGGTTTTAGTCAAAAGTCAACAAATGTATATTTTTAAAAATTTGTTGAATCCTCTTGTAGGTTGCTACTTCTAGAATATATTTGAAGAAAGATTGATATAGAGATTTTACTGGAAAATTAAGGAATATATTTGAGTATATGGTTCTTGAATTATAGTGCAAGAGTGAAATTGTGTGGTACAGACAGAAAAAGATACTAAGAAATATCTTAGAAAAGAAGCCCAGAGGCCAGGGTATGGCACAGTGGTTAAGAGCATGGGCCCTGGTACCAGACTGCTCGAGGTTTGAGCCTGTCTCTATGTAGGTATGACTCTAGGCAAGTACTTGAACTCTGTATACATCAGTTTCCTTTTAATTACATTGGAGATGATAATAGGATCTCTTATATAATTGTTGTTAGAATGAAATTAGTTGATTTATATTAAGTCCTTAGAATAATGCCTGGACTGAGCGAGATGGGCCAGACACGCCCTGGAGCCCTTCTGTGGTCCTTCCCCA